ATGTGGCCCGCACACCATCATCGCTCGTTGGCCTCCTCCGCGTACGGCTGCAGGAGGTTCTCTCTCCAGGGGTTTGGTCGACCTGGGGAGATGACAAGAGCGGGGAAAACAACGTGTCATTCGACGACGCTAAGGGGCTGTGTGGTTGTATGATTTTACCATGTAAAAGGATGTAAAGTGTAAAAAGGTGGGTCCCAATGTCATCTTTCATTACTTTCAATTGTTTGTTTGTAGTTGTGAAAATAATGTAAAGTGATTTCATATGTTGATGTGGCTTGTAAAGTGATTTCATGAAAAAAAGACATGATTTTAGGAGAAAGCTAACATTGAAGTTAGTAAAAAATAATAAAAAATAATTCCAACCAATATGATCATTTGAGTAGGGACCACTTTTTATACTTTTCAAACAAACAATTAAAATTTCATTTTGCAAACCAAATAAGTGTTTTATGATTCCAATGGAATCAAAAACAAACAATGAAAATTATAAAAGTAAAATTGATGAGGTGGACAACAACTTTCCAAGTTGTGTCATAAATACACAACTTTACCAACAACAACCAAACAGCCCCTAAGGGGTGTTTGTTTCAAATCCCAAAATTTATGGATATGGATTTCACCACAGAATTTGAAATCCATAAAATTTTTTACATGTTTTGGGATCTCTAAAATTTTGTTTGTTTCATCAACATTTTGGGATTTTGAATACCAAAATTTGTAATATTTTGTTTGTTTCATCAATATTTTGGGATTTGGAATACTATAATTTGTAATATTTTGTTTGTTTCATCAATATTTTGGGATTTGAAATACTATAATTTGTAATATTTTGTTTGTTTCATCAATATTTTGGGATTTGAAATACTATAAATTATATATTATAATATTATATAATATTTTAATAACATATATTACAACATTTTGGGATTTTGAATACCAAAATTTGTAATATTTTGTTTGTTTCATCAATATTTTGGGATTTGGAATACTATAATTTGTAATATTTTGTTTGTTTCATCAATATTTTGGGATTTGAAATACTATAAATTATATATTATAATATTATATAATATTTTAATAACATATATTATTATAATATTATATAATATTTTGGGATTTGGAATACTACAGCATGAACAGTGATTATTGGGTCCTCCTATATATATTATATATTATATATATAATATTATATATATATATATTATATTATAGATATAATTTATATAATATATAATATAATATATATAATATATTATATATTATATAATATATATATTATATA